GCATCCTTTTCAGCTGAATCGCAAATAAAACATCTCGGCGGCACTTCCTTCCACTTGGTGAGACCTTTTATTGGGAAAAATCAGGGATTGGGTGCTTCTCTCTGTCTCGTCAGGGTAACGAACTCTTTAAGAAGTCTGATTGGTCTCTGCCTCCTGGCAAAGACCCCTAAATTCCAGCTCTCTAACAAGGTCTTAGTTGCTGGGACTCCTGAGCTTCAAAGTAAGGCCCACCCGGCTAAAGAAAGAAGCACATCATAGTTTCAACCTTAAAGTGCCTAGGTGTGACTGCACACAGATATAAACATTAAAAACATTTATCTCAACATTAAATTACAGTGTTAGCCCCAGCTTCTGCCAATCTAGATGTTCGAAAACATGCAAATTTGAGTAGATCAATAGGTACCACTCAGGCGGGAAGTTAATGACGCTCCATGCAGTCATGCCGGCCACTTGACCTTGAAGGTGTCTATGGACAATGCCTGCTCTTTGGCTAAGAAATGGAGATGAGCACCAACCCCCAGAGTCAGACACAACTAGACTTAATGTCAGGGGAAAACCTTTACTTTTGCCCTTTACCTACAGCCATGACACACCCACTGCATCCCTCCTATCTCTGTTTCCTCATTCCTTCTGCCTTTCTTCAATGTGCTTCCTGGATGAGACATTCTAGACCAGGACGGGGAGAGAAAGAGACAGAGGACACAATCATAACATTGAAAAGCCATTTTCCCTGATTATTTTATTGACATGCTGAAAGAGTCAATCCTCCGAGTGGCTTTGCCTGCGCCACACAGTTTGATGACGCCGTTTGCCATTCTGAGTGAAGCCGCGCCGCAGGATGGAGGTGGTGATGGAGCCAAGAAAGGTTCGGATCTACGCGGCGGCAACCTTCAGCGAAAGGATCTGGTGCACATTTGGCTCAAAACAGGAGCAGTGTAGGCGGCTGCCATGAACACAGCCCTTTCTCATTGGAAGGGCTTCAAGCCTGGCATTTAAAAATAGCAATGATTTAAGGATCTCTACATATCTGTTTCGGGATCATATAGTTAAGGAATGGACTATAACAAAAAAACTTCCCATCGGATCAGTTCTTTCTCCCTGTGATGTTGGAACCTCACTCCCTGGCACGTATAGTATTGATTTCAACATTTTCCTAAGCCTCCATTGTGATGGTGAAAGCAAGCAAGAAAGAAGCAGCCAGGCTTTGAAGCTGCAAGGCCATTCAATGCTGATCAAGGTGGCCAATAGCAACATTCACACCTACCTCCCACACATTCTACAGATATATCAACCCCACTTGTCTAGTTTCCAACACACTTCACAACCTCTGAGGATGCCTGCCATAGATGTAGGTGAAACATCAGGAGAGAATGCTTCTGGAACATGGCCAGACAGCTGGGAAAACTCACAGCAACCCAATGATTCCGGCCATGAAAGACTTTGACAACACAAAAAATATGTTTGTGTCGTATGTCATCGTGTCCTGTGTGCATGCTGATGCTCATGATGGGTCTGATGTTCCTGATGGGATTGGGGATGAGGGTTTGTTTGGGCCTGAGTTAAGTTCAGAAGAGAGGCCTGCGCTGTTTCAGGAAGATTCACAAGGCCACATTCCTGGGAGAGACCTTTCACCACTTTCCTCTGAGCAACTGTCTGAAAATGATGCTGAAATGGATTTCCCAGATGGAGAAGTTAATGAGGGAGAGGAGAATGAAATCTTGGACAGAAAGCAGAGTTTTCGTAAACAGAAGCAGAGCTTTCAGAGACTGAGGCGATCACTTCGTCCACAGAAAAATACAAGTAGTGGGAAAGACAAGAAGAACACTTTCCTTGCAGTCTTGGGGTCTGGAAAGGTTTATAATGCTTCATGGGAGTGAGTTGCCTCTGTTGAGGCAATGTTGTTATTTTATCACGGTCTTGCTTTCAAGGGCTCTAAGTTTCATGTACCAAGTTTTTGCCGAGCTTAAGTTTTGCCTATGGGATTTTCCTGCTGTTTTGTTTCAAGATTTCAAGTGCCTTGCTTCATGGATTTCTATATACTCATGGATCTTGTTCCCCTTTGAAGCTTATGGACTGTTTTGGATTTTGTACTGTTTTCCTATTTTTTACTGCTTTGTCTACATGTGTTCTACAATAAACTGCTTGCTGATTTTACAAAGATGGTGTGGTGTGCTGTGAAGATTCTTTGGTTTCGATCTTCGAGAAACCAAGTGACACAAAAGCCTGGTGAAACCAACCAGCAATAACGGGATATTGTCAAATTTAATGAGCTGGCGGTTGATTCTTTGTCAAACATATGCAAATCACAAAAATAGGCCGCAGGGCGGGATTGTCCATTTTGAGTTTAATGCATGATATGGCGATTTCATTTACGATGGGAGGACAAGGGAATTGAATGGATATGATTCATCTTTTCACAAAATTTGCACACAGCGGAGGTGCCAACCGCGCATTGTTATGTTCCAGGCCTGAATGGGGATTCTGAATAGTGGACCGGGCTTTAGCACAGCAGGTTAATCACCAAGCTGCAAGAAAGATTGCCAACCGGAAGGTTGACCATTCAAAGCCTGGGTCAGGGTGAGCGCCTGACCTTTAGCCCAGCTTCTGCCAACCTAGTGGTTCAAAAACAAATGTGAGTAGATAGATAGGAACCGCATTAAAGCGGGGAGGTATTTTAGGCACGGCGTTTCGATCGGAAAAAAGGAGGAAGTTTACAAACAAAGAAAGCTCTTTGGCAAGGAGATGGAGCAACAGCACCCCCCTGTGCTGGAACTGAGCACAGCCTCCAAAGATGATGAAAGATGGGGAAAGCCTATATATACCTTTATCTCAGGCCTCAGCAAACTCGGGGGCCGCATGGTAGCACTCCCCGCTAAGAGGACTGGCTGCCCAGTGATGGAAGGAAGGAAGGGAAAGAGGAAGGAAAGAGAGAAGGAAGGACAAAAGGGCCGTAAGAAAGGATGGAAGGAGGAAGAGAGGGAAGGAGGGAGGAGAGAAGGAAGGAAGGAAGGGTGGAAGGGAAGGATAAAGGGAAAAAGAGAAGGAAGGGATGAAGAGAAGGATGGAAGAAAGCAAGGGAAAGAATAAAGGAAAGAGAGGAAAGGAAGGAAGGAAGGAGGAAGGGCGAGAGGGAGGAAAGAGGGAAGGAAGGATGAAAGGTTGGAAGAGAAGGAAGGAAGGACTAAGAGGGAGGAGAGAGAGAAAGGAGGAAGGAAATAGAGAAGGAAGGAAAGACAAAAGGGAGGGAAGGATGAAAGGGTGGAAGGGAAGGATGGAGGGGGAAAGAGAAGGAAGGAAGGAAGGAAGGAAGGAAGGAAGGAAGGAAGGAAGGAAGGAAGGAAAAAGAGGGAGAGAGGGAAGAAAGAGGGAAGGAAGGATGAAAGAGTGGAAGAGAAGGATGGAAGGAGAAAGAGGGAGGAGAGAGAGAAAGGAGAAAGGAAATAGAGAAGGAAGGAAAAACAAAAAGGAGGGAAGGATGAAAGGGTGGAAGGAAGGGATGGATGGATGGAAGGAAGGAAGGAAGGAAGGAAGGAAGGAAGGAAGGAAGGAAAAAGAGAGCGAGAGGGAAGAAAGAGGGAAGGAAGAATGAAAGAGTGGAAGAAAAGAATGGAAGGAGAAAGAGGGAGGAGAGAGAGAAAGGAGAAATAGAGAAGAAGGAAAAACAAAAAGGAGGGGCGGATGAAAGGGTGGAAGGGAGGGGTGGATGGAAGGAAGGAAGGAAAAAAAGAAGGAAGGATAGGATGGTGTGAGAGAGGAGGGCCTGAGAAAAGAACCCAAGAGGACACATCCTGGGCCTGGGTTTGCCCATACCTGCTCTATCTGTTGCCTGTCCTGTCATGTATAATCAAACAGGAAAAAAGGAGGAAGTTCACAAACAAAGAAAGCTCTTTGGCAAGGAGAAGGAGCAACAGCACCCTCCTGTGGCCGGAACTGAGCACAGCCTCCAAAGATACCAAAAGATGGAGAAAATCTGTACCTCTACCTGTCGTTGTATAATCGGCATTGAACATTTGCGTGTATGTGTTTTGAGATCCGCCTTCAGGGTGAGAAGGACAGAATATAAACACTGCAAATAAATAAATAAATAAATTCTAAACAGGAGTCAATGATTGTCAATATGAAATCAGTAGACTTTTTCAAATGTCAGTGTTACCAAAATAACTTAGCTGGTATTCTTTGTTGTTATGGAATAATATCACACCAGTTTCAGTTTATGAAGATCCTTATGAATGAGATAACTTCTTTAAAACTACATTGCCTATGCAAGCTACAGTCTCAGCTGGTGCTATTCGTTCATTCTTAATCACAAATGGGTGCGAATGTGATGAAAAAATAGGACGGAATGACTTTGGGCCCGTTTAGAATCAACCATTTGAACATTCAAACGCCCATGGCTTATGACCGATCGCAGTGCAAATGCCTTTGATCGGCGCAGGAGGCATGCGAATCTTATCACATTTGTGTTGAGCAGAGTTTGATTTGCTTGGTACAGTAGAGTCTCGCTTATCTGTAATAAACAGGCCGGCAGAACATCAGAGAAATGAAAATGTCATATAATACGGAGTCTCCTACTGTTACCTGTCTAAGGTGGTGCCAGACACCTAGAATACTAACAAGAGGGACTCAAAGAGTTAAGGCAAGGCAACACCTCAGGGCTAGAGGGCCCAGTAGGAATGCCGGATGTGGAAGGGGAGCATGGAAATCACACCGGGAAGGAGAGAGGACGCTTCTGCTTCTGGTCCTGCCTCTTTCCCCCCTTTCCTTCCTTCCTCCTCCTCCTCGTTTTGCCTTTTTCACTTATTGGGAATGGAGAGAAAGTTGGGGAGCGCTCCTTTAATTGAAGGGGAAATGCTGGAGGAAAAGGGTTGGATAAGATCGTCGGATAAGACGGAATGTCAGATAAGCAAAGGTCGGATAAGAGACACTCTACTGTATTTAGATTGGCTTTCAGATAAATTCTTCCTATCCACCCCTACCATGAATATTCACAAGGTGGCATCTCACCGGATGTATGTATTTAATGGGAATGGTTTCCCCGATGTCCCAATGAGGTTCTAAGGATTTTATATACTTCGGTTCATATTTGTAGAAGAAAGGATGCGTAGAAGCATGAACTGACCCGTAAAGCCACCCTTAAGGGGTAGGCCAGTTTTCAAAGTGCAGACATTTCCAAAAAATATGGGAAATCTAGCAGTGGTTATCCTCTACCACTTGCCCCAAGGCCACCCCGTTCCCCAAAGCATCCATGGCTTTCTCCAAAGGACAATGCTGCACTGCTTTATCATGGCTATTGGGGATAAAAGGAGTGGATGTGGGGGTTAGGATGTGCATGAGCTCAAGAGAAGCCCTGTTTGTTTGTTTGTTTGTTTGTTTGTTGTTCTCCCCTCTCCAGCCCCGCCCCGCCCCAAAAAACCCACCCCAGTCCCTGCTCTGAGTAAGATATAGTACGTGCAAAAAGGAGGGAGCCAAAAGAGACGACTAGTCCCACTTAACAGGGGCAGATACGACGATATTGAGTGAGCCAGGCTTTGCGAGGAGTGTTTGGGGCAAGGAGGAAGGGTGGGTTGCCAGGAAAAGAGGAGAGAGCAGAGTGGAGAGGTAGGCTTGGCATCGCGGCCGCTCAGGAGCTGGGGTCCTTTTTCCGTTTCTGGAAGCGCCGGAATTTGCCCTGGATGGCGAGCGCGGCCTTCTCGGTCTCGGGGGCGTTCAGGTCAATGTCTATTTCCTCCTCTTCGGCTTCCACCTTCTTGGCAGTCCCAGGTTTATCTGCGGGAAGAAGCAGTCGGTGTTATCATTAAAGACAGGAGGAATCTAAGGACTTCATCACATGCAATAAAACCAGCGTTTCTACACACTTAAGAAATTGCAACCAACTGTGCCCTTCACATGATCATAGAATCATAGAATCAAAGAGTTGGAAGAGACCTCATGAGCCATCCAGTCCAACCCCATTCTGCCAAGAAGCAGGAATATTGCATTCAAATCACCCCTGACAGATGGCCATCCAGCCTCTGTTTAAAAGCTTCCAAAGAAGGAGCCTCCACCACACTCTGGGGCAGAGAGTTCCACTGCTGAACGGCTCTCACAGTCAGGAAGTTCTTCCTCATGTTCAGATGGAATCTCCTCTCCTGTAGCCCAAAGCCATTGTTCCGCGTCCTATTCTCCAGCGAAGCAGAAAACAAGCTTGCTCCCTCCTCCCTGTGGCTTCCTCTCACATATTTATACATGGCTATCATGTCTCCTCTCAGCCTTCTCTTCTTCAGGCTAAATATGCCCAGCTCCTTAAGCCGCTCCTCATAGGGCTTGTTCTTCAGACCTTTTATCATTTTAGTTGCTCTCCTCTGGACACATTCCAGCTTGTCAATATCTCTCTTGAATTGTGGTGCCCAGAATTGGACACAATATTCCAGATGTGGTCTAACCAAAGCGGAATAGAGCATGGGGAGCATGACTTCCCTAGATCTAGACACTATATGATGCAGGCTTCAAATGTGGGGTAGAAGTATCTTGACAATTCCTAAGCCAGTTGGCAGGTACCGTATATACTCGAGTATAAGCCGACCCGAATATAAGCCGAGGCACCTAATTTTACCACAAAAAACTGGGAAAATGTATTGACTCGAGTATAAGCTGAGGATGGGAAATGCAGGTGCTACTGGTAAATTTCAAAATAAAAATAGATAGCAATAAAATTATATTAATTTAGGCATCAGTAGGTTAAATGTATTTGAATATTTACATAAAACTGTAATTCAAGATAAGACTGTCCAACTCTGATTAAACCATTATTCTAACCTTCTTCAATGTAAATATGCTAACATATCCTTCCTATAATAATAGAGTAAACCAAATAACAACAACAACAATAATAGTGCAAAATAATAAATGTAATAATAACAATACAGTAAAATAATAAATGGAACAATAGCAATAATAAATAGAGTAAAATAATAAATGTAAAAATAACAACAATAAAATAATAAATGTAATAATAACAAAGTAAAATAATAAATAACCTTGACTCGAGTATTTATTTATTTATTTACTTTGCTTGTATACCGCAGTTTCTCAGCCCGTAGGCGACTCAACGCGGTTCACAACATAGCAAAAACAGTCATAACAAAATAGCAATAAACGATTTAAAAACCATGAAAGCACAAAATACAATAATGGCACATCAATAACAACACAACAACGTCTCGTAACTAGAATCGTGATCCAATTCGTCGTCTATAATTCCGTTCCTATATTCATCATATTCATTGCACTGTTTATCTGAATGCCTGTCCAAACAGCCAGGTTTTTAGCTTTTTTCGAAACACCATTAACGTCGGAGCTGATCTTATGTCCATGGGAAGGGCGTTCCACAGCCGAGGGGCCACCACAGAGAAGGCCCTGTCCCTCGTCCCCGCCAGCCGTGCTTGTGATGCAGGCGGGATCGAGAGCAGGGCCTCCCTAGAAGATCTTAGAGTCCTGGTGGGTTCATAGGCAGAGATACATTCGGATAGGTAGCTTGGGCCCGAACCGTTTAGGGAGAGCCGGGAGAGACCTTTTCAGCATAAAAAAAGGATTGAAAAACTAGGCTTATACTCGAGTATATACAGTAACTTATTTATTTATTTTATAGTATTTATATCCCACTCTTCTCACCCCAAAGGAGGCACAGGGCGGATCACAGAACACATACACAGCAAACATTCAATGCCACTATACACTGACAGGACAGAGGTATATAATAATAATAATAATAATAATAATAATAATAATAATAATAATAATGGTAATAATAATCTTTATTTATACCCCACACCATCTCCCCAATAGGGACTCGGACCGGCTTACATGAGGCCAAGCCCAGCGATACATTACAGCAACATAAAATATAAACAACAAAATAACATTACAATAAAATAAATAAACCAGTCAAGTAAAATAAACAGTACAAAATAACATAATCTATATAAATAAAAATATAATGTTCGTTTGTGGGATTAACAGAACTCAAAAACCACTGGACGAATTGACACCAAATTTGGACACAAGACACCTAACAACCCAATGTATGTCCTTCACTCAGAAAATTTTGATTTTGTCATTTGGGAGTTGTAGTTTCTGGGATTTATAGTTCACCTACAATCAAAGAGTATTCTGAACCCCACCAACGATGGAATTGAACCAATCTTGGCACACAAAACTCCCATGACCAACAGAAAATACTGGAAGGGTTTGGTGGGCGTTGACCTTGAGTTTGGGAGTTATAGTTTGGGAGTTATAGTTATAGTGATCCAGAGATCACTGTGGACTCAGACAATGATGGATCTGGACCAAACTCTACTCCAGGGGTCCTCAAACTAAGGCCCAGGGGGGCAGATATGGCCCTCCAAGGTCATTTACCCGGCCCTCGCTCAGGGTCAATCTAAGTCTGAAACAACTTGAAAGCACAACAACAACAACAACAATCCTATCTGATCAACTTCCCATTGAAATATTAATAAGTTTATATTTGTTAAAATTGTTCTTCATTTTAATTATTGTATTGTTTTAAGTGTTTGTTTTGCACTACAAATAAGATATGTGAAGTGTGCATAGAAATTCATTAATGTTTTATTCAAATTATAATCCAACCTTCCAACAGTTTGAGGGACTGCTACCTGGCCCTCTGTTTAAAAAGTTTGAGGACCCCTGCTCTACACAAATACTCAATATGCCCAAATGTGAACACTGGTGGCGTTTGGGGAAAATAGAATCTTGACATTTGGGAGTTGTAGTTGCTGGGATTTATAGTTCACCTACAATCACAGAGCATTCTGAACCCCACCAAAGAAAGAATTGGGCCAAACCTCCCACACAGAACCACCATGTGGGCCACAGTAATGCATGGCAGGGGACGGCTAGTGGAAAATAAAAACACAGTGGGCGGGCCAAATGCACGACATAAAATGATAAAACACTGGATAGCATCTTGGAGGTTGTGCCCAATTCCAGTAATGGGGGGGGGGGGGGGGGGGGGGGGGGGGGGTGCTGACGCTCCATCTTCCATGCTGAAGAGCCCTGTTCACAGACTTCTTCCTTTTGATCGAACCACCAGCATTTCTGGTATTTCTTTTATGGTGCCATCTACTCACAGTTGTTTTTGATCTGCTAGGTGGGCAGTGAGCTGGGCTGAAGGTTGGGCGCTCAACCGTGATCCGGGCTTTGAATTGCCAACCTTTCAATTCGTGAGATTTACTGCAGCTGGTGGCTAACCTGCTGTGCTAAAGCCTAGCCCTTTCTTTTTTTCCCAAATATCCATTTACTATATAGTCCTCAAATAGAGGACGTATCAGATATTAAACTGATAAGAACAGATGCTACACTTGATCTTAGCCAAAAGGCTGGTCTTGATCTTATTTCTAATTTCCTCAACATTCCCCCGTCTTCCTGTGTTATCTCCCTTCTCGTAAAAGTCCTTTTGAACTCATACTTACTATTTTCTCAATAGCCTCCCAGAAACTCCTTCTGTGCTGTCAGGCTTTTGTTTTACTTATCAAAAGGCTAGCAGAGAGAGACATAAGAGAGTTAAAGCTAAATTTCCCCCCTTTTCTCCTGTTCTCAACTCAACAGCGTAAGAATAACCCCCCTATATAATAATAACATAGTCGTTGACGTGCTGGCTTATACCCAAACAGGGGATGAGCTGGAGATGTCTCTGCCTTGGTCCTTTCACTATTGGCTGCGACTTCCCGGCGGATGTTTAGGTGGTGCAATAGAATCATAGAATCATAGAATCATAGAATCATAGAATCAAAGAGTTGGAAGAGACCTCATGGGCCATCCAGTCCAACCCCATCCTGCCAAGAAGCAGGAATATTGCATTCAAATCACCCCTGACAGATGGCCATCCAGCCTCTGTTTAAAAGCTTCCAAAGAAGGAGCCTCCACCACACTCCGGGGCAGAGAGTTCCACCGCTGAATGGCTCTCACAGTCAGGAAGTTCTTCCTCATGTTCAGATGGAATCTCCTCTCTTGTAGTTTGAAGCCATTGTTCCACGTCCTAGTCTCCAAGGAAGCAGAAAACAAGCTTGCTCCCTCCTCCCTGTGGCTTCCTCTCACATATTTATACATGGCTATCATGTCTCCTCTCAGCCTTCTCTTCTTCAGGCTAAACATGCCCAGCTCCTTAAGCCGCTCCTCATAGGGCTTGTTCTCCAGACCCTTGATCATTTTAGTCGCCCTCCTCTGGACACATTCCAGCTTGTCAATATCTCTCTTGAATTGTGGTGCCCGGAATTGGACACAATATTCCAGGTGTGGTCTAACCAAAGCAGAATAGAGCATGGGGAGCATGACTTCCCTAGATCTAGACACTATAGAGGCCAAAATCCCATTGGCTTTTTTTTGCTGCCACATCACATTGTTGGCTCATGTTTAACTTGTTGTCCACGAGGACTCCAAGATCTTTTTCACACGTACTGCTCTCGAGCCAGGCATTGTCCCCCATTCTGTATCTTTGCATTTCGTTTTTTCTGCCTAAGTGGAGTATCTTGCATTTGTCACTGTTGAACTTCATTTTGTAAGTTTTGGCCCATCTCTCTAATCTGTCAAGATCGTTTTGAATCCTGCTCCTGTCCTCTGGAATATTGGCTCTCCCTCCCAATTTGGTGTCATCTGCAAACTTGATGATCCTGCCTTCTAGCCCTTCATCTAAGTCATTAATAAAGATGTTGAACAGGACCGGGCCCAGGACAGAACCCTGCAGCACTCCACTTGTCACTTGTGGTGCAATACCGG